ATAGGGGTACTGGGTGTCGAACTTCACCAAGACGAACTTGCTTTTGGGAATGACCTGAGGGCATAGAGAGCTGAGCAAGTTCGGGATTCCAGGGACCTTTGGGGCTAATACCCTTTCTCAAGGGACCTCTGTTTAAGAAACAAAGTGGAAACCAAGCCTGCAAGGGAGACCAGGACTTGCACACTTATATTCATTCATTCATTCACCCACCCAATTGATTGATTTATTCACCCACCCATTGATTCATTTAGCAATTTACTGGTTTTGGGTACCCCACTAGGTACTGGTTCACAGTAATCAAAGACATATACAACCCAGCTCAGAATAAACAAAGCTGTACAGGTGCCTGGGTGGCTCAGTCGGTTAAGTGTCTGACTCTTGATTTCCGTTCAGGTCATGATCTCACAGTCTGTGAGACTGAGCCCCACTTTGGGCTCTGCACTGTGGGATTCTCTCCCTTCCACTCTCTCTGCCCCTCCCCCCTCAAAATAAATAAACATTAAAAAAAAAGGAATAAACAAAGCTGTAGATGTATTAAGGCCTTCTCTTCCAGTGGCCTTTTTGGTAAGGTTAAGGAAACCCTTAGAAAACACTATGTGGTTCCCTGTCATGCCCATCATCCCAAACAGCCTTTTTCAGTAAACAATGAACCAGAAATCTGATAAAAACCAACAGCCATCTGTAAAGGGCTTGGCACCACAGAGGTGCTTCAGCTAGGGAGCTCTGAGTCTGAACTCTGCAATGTCAGGGCTCACAGGAAGTTGCTGAGAGGCCAGGCTTAGGACAATGTCTCCTCCATAGATCACAGTTCCCTTTGGCTAGATCACCAGGTCCTAAACTGTCAGGGTCAAGATCTTTAATTGTGGTAAAATTCCCATCACACAAAACTCATCATTTTAAAGTGTACAATTTAGTGGGATTCAGTCCACTAACAACGTGCTAGTATCTATTCCAGAACATTTTCATCACCTGAAAAGAATCACATACCCACACATTTGAAGCAGTCATTTCCCTAAGACACAGCAACCACTTATCTGCCTTTTTTTCCTCTATGATGTCTACTCTGATGGAATCATACAACATGTAGCCTTGTGTGCCTGGCTTCTTTCACTCAGCATAATGTTTTCAAGGTTCATCCATGTTGTAGCATCGATTGGTATTTCATTCCTTTTGGTGGGCAAATAATATTCCATTGTATGGATGTGCCACATTTTATTTATTCATCAGGTGATGGACATTGGGTTGTTTCCACCTTTTGGCTATTTGTGAATAGTGGTGTTATAAACATTCATGTACAAATGTGTATTGAATGCCTGTTTTCATTTCTTTTGGGTATGTACCTAGGAGTGGAAATGATGGTCATATATACTAATTCTACATTTAAGTTTTAGAGGACTCCTCAAAATCTTTCTTTTGATGGTTTCTCCCAATGCACAGATTTTATCTAACAAACTGCCTTCTCCAACTTTTTTCTAATCAAAGTGATCAGTTCAGGTCTTTTTCATCACAGGCTATTGCTGTCATAATTAAGTCAAGCTGGCATCATTCCAAATTTTATTAGTCTTTATTCCTCTTTGTGTGTTGATATCCATTTGGTTTTAGCTTTTAAAAAAATATTTAACACTGCCCAGGGACCCAAGGAAAGGAGGGAGAAGCTATTAGAACAGCTCACCTTTTAAGTGGTCACTGACCCCCAAAATGTGAGTTCTGAGGGCCTAAAAGCAGCGAAGCCTTAAAATATAAATCAGATCACATCCCTCTGGCCCAACTGGCCTTATTTCAGTTCAACACAAGAAACTAATTCCCACTTAGGGCCTTTTTAGGTGCTGTCTCCGCTAGCTGGAATACCCTTTCCCCAATTCCTTCCAGGATGTCTATCATTCAGAGCTCAGTTCAGACGTCCCCCCTAATGGAGAGGCCTCCTCTGCTCATACCATCTAGCACTGCTTCATTTTCCCCATACTACCATATTACCCTGCTCTTTCTTCACTGCATTAATCACCCTCTAAAATTCTTACCTGCATGTTTGTTGTCTGTTCTCTCCACTAGAACGTACATTTATGAGAATAAGGACCTTATCTGACTTGTTCTCTGTTATATCCCTAGTGCCCAAGAGTGCCTGGAATGTGGCAGATGCTCTGAAAATATCTGATAAATGAACACAACTAGAGAAGGCTACGGTAGCAGATGCTACATATGTCCGGGGGAAAAATATTTAAAAAGCATGGCACAGGATCCCTACCTTCAAGGGGCCTACATTTGTATTATGGGATAATATTAATAAGTGTACAGTGGTCTAACACTGAAACATAATTGAAAGGTCTTCATCTTTTACCATTTTTAGCCATAGGCACAATGGTTTTGAATGGCATACATTTGCACAGTGTATTTTTTTCCTTTTCATCAGTCATGCTGTATCTCTTAATTGCTTTAGAAATCTGTGTCCTTTCTTCATCCTTGAAGAACTGACTCCACCATACCCTATATTTAGGCAACTTGGTTCTTTAAGGTACAGAAGAATTCATCATTCATTCATTCATTGAATAAAAACGTACCAAGGGCCTATCGTGTGATAGTGAACACAACAGTAAAAAAAGCATGGAGGGTTTCTTATCTCTAATGATGGTGAAGGGCAAGAAACAAAAGAAGACACTGGAAACTGCTGAAAGACAAAGCACAGAACAAGGCCCTTGGATGTATTACCAGGAAGCACCTCTTCTGTTCAGTGATGGAAGAGAGATCTAGAAAGGGACTGGAGAACACATTTGTTCATTCATTCAACAATTATCTTCCATGTGACAGGTAACCTGCTAGGTTGTACAGATGATCCGTGAAAAAACAGACAATGCAGTTCTTCATAAACATATAACATTCTGGTGCAGGAGATGACAAAATAGCCGGGGGGGGGGGGGGGGGGGGTCAATGATGAGAGCTCTACAGAGAAATCAAACTAACGTGACTGGCACTTTGGATGGGGGGAGGGGAACTCAAGGCAGGACTCTGAGAAGGTAATATTTAACCTAAGCCTGAATGATGAGAAGCAACCAACCTTTCAAAGATTGGGCAAAGAATGTTCTAGTCAGAAGAAACTGCCAGGGCAAAGGGCCTACATCAGTAATGGGCTAGGAATATTCAAAGGACAGAAGGCATGTATGGCTGGAAGCAGAGGGGACAAAAAGGAGAATGGTTAGGAGATGAGAGTAGAGGCTAAAGACGGAGACCAGCCAGAAGACTTCTGTAATGACAGCTGAGACCAGGGTGGTAGCAATAAAGACAGAGAGGCACCGACTGATTAGGAAATACTGTTAACTTCACAGCGCAAAATTTCCCTCTGAGTCACACTTGGTCTGTGATATTATCCCATTCCCGCATTTGGGGAGTGGGGTATAACTTTGCCAATAAAGAATCCCAAAGCATGAGGTGCTGTGGGGTGTGCCTTACAATCAACCAGCCATACCTACACTTTTAAGTTCTTGAATAAGCCACAGGTGCCAAATCCAGGACAAGGAATGCCTTTGAGAATAGAAAGAGTTCAACCACTTGCAACAGATTTAGAACTCTACAAAAGTAGAAACCAAAAATGGTTTCCCTTCCCAGCAACGGGTACAAATTAAGAAAATAAAATGAATGGCTTCTCTCTCAATGCTTAGTATGCCCGTCTCGTAGGTGAAGTTGAAAGGTGCCAGTGTGTGAAGATGGGTGCAAGAGGGAGTTGGGAATACATTCAGCCTCCAACATCCATTTACCCAGGCTAATCCTTCCACATCTTGACCCTATTTTACTCACTATGTCCCCAGGCCCAAGATATTCCCTAGAGTTCCCTTATTCTTCTTTTTTCTTTAATTTTTAAAAATGTTTTGTTTACCTTGGAGAGACAGATAAAGTACGGGTGGGGAGGCGCAGAGAGGGAGAGAGGGAGACACAGACCCTGAGGCAGGCTCCAGGCTCTGAGCTGGAAGCACGAGTGGGGCTGGAACTGGTGAACCATGGGATCATGACCTGAGCTTAACTGACTGAGCCACCCAGGCGGCCCCAGAGTTCCCTTATTCTTAACGCTTGCGCTCTTCAAGACACAGGACATCCGGACACTGTTTGCATACTACAAAACAGGCTGCACGCCACACCAAGAGAGGAGGGGCACAGAAATGCCGGGTAACACGCGGAGTTTTCAACCACTGCCCCCCCCACTCCCTCCTCCGTCAGCCCAGAGCCGGGTGGCGTCCGCCTCGCACCGCCCTCCCGGCCTCCCACTTGGGTCTCGAGGATTGGATCTCGCCCGGCACCGCCCTCTCCCCCTAGGTGAGGGGAAGGGGCAGCTTGTTCCCGTGACTGCATCTCCTTAGCTCTTTTGCAAAAGAGGAAGTACAAATACTGCAAAGGCAAAGGTGTGCGGGGACCCTGGACCCCATGGTCGTGATACGGCCCCGGCCCAAAGTCCACCATCCCTTTACGTTGGTGGATCGTCCCTACAGACCACCCTCCGCCAGCCCTGTCTCCTTCCCCACGGAGGTGCGCTCCATTACTAGCTTGAGGCTGCACCTGCGCGCGATTCCTCCGCCCCCGTTACCTTGTAGAAAGTGATTGTATCCAGGGGAAGGGCGCCCTTGGTGTGCAGGCCGCTACCGCCATGCGGGGCGGAGAGGAACAGGAGGAACAGGAGAAGAGGAAACAGTGGGGAGAGAGAAGCGGCGCGGGGCAGGCCTGCAGCCATAACGCCGAATTCTGGCAGTAGGAGCTGGGAAGGCTGTAGTGGAGAAAACGCAGAGTCGGGAGTCACGTGACTTGCAAGGCCGACTCGGAGGCGCGCACGTGGACAGCCCGAGAGGCTCCAGTCGGACTAGGGTGAGAGGGAGGGGCCACGTGAGGGGCGGGGAGATGGGGCTGCCGCGCGCGCGCGCACTCGGCGAAGCTCGAGCAGGCCGAGGGCGAGGGGGCGGGGCCCGTGTGACTGGCCGAGGGGGCCGTGGAGAGCGTGGGTGGTGGAAAAAGAGTCTCCGCGCACGCGTACTCGGCGAGGCTCGCCGCCAGCCAGCCTTTCTCCCGTCGTCCTTGGCGTGAGGAGAGGTACGAAGCGCGTGCTTAGCGTCTTGCTGCTGCTCGTAGTTCTCTCTCTTTACCCTTCTTCGAAGATGAGGAGGCCGGCCATCGTTTCTTCCTGATTGTGGCGCGTTGGGCAGTCAGTTGGGACCCGCCAGTACTTTAGGTTGGTATGTCAGTTTGTGCTACCACCCTCAGGCGGTTGGTCATGCTCTGCCACCCCCCGTCAACCAGGACCCGAGTAGGCCAAGCAGAGGAGGCTGTGCGTCAGCATGGCCGTCGGAGCCACTCCTGAGCCCTGCCCGGGTGCCTCCTCTGGTGACCGCCTGCCTCAGCGGCGAGGCCCAGGCTCCTATAAAAATAGACTTTACTAGGGGCGCCTGGGTGGCTCGGTCGGTTAAGCGTCCGACTTCGGCTCAGGTCATGATCTCGTGGTTGACGAGTTCGAGCCCCGCGTCGGGGTGCTGACCGCTCAGAGCCTGGAGCCTGCTTCCGATTCTGTGTCTCCCTCTCTCTCTGACCCTCCCCCCATTCATGCTCTGTCTCTCTCTGTCTCAAAAATAAATAAACGTTAAAAAAAAATTAAAAACAAAATAGACTTTACTGAAAGTTGAGTACTGCCCAGCTATGCATATCCCAGCCTCCTGAGAATTAAAAACAAACAAAAACAAGTCCTAATGATTCTTTCAATAGATACTTGTTCAGGGCATGGTTTACACCAGCTTCTGGTTTGGGTTGTGGGAATACAAAATAGAGGTGAACGAGACAGCTCTGGTCTGAACGAATTCACAGTGTTGGGGAGGAGGAGACCGAGCAATAGTTACATAACCGTTACCTTGTTCACTTAGTCCTGCTCAGGAATGTCGGGGTAAGTTGCAGACAGGAAATGACTTTTGAACTGGATCGTGAAAGAAGAGTAGGCATTTACAAGGCAGACACCAAAGGATATTTCTAGAAAGAGGAAAAACATGAATCTGTAAAGGTAAACTGGCCAGTGTTGCAAAGGGTCTCATCAAACTAAAGGGTTTGGTGCCACCGCAGGTGTTAACCAGGAGAGTGAAGTCAGATTTGCTGTCATTTAGGAGTGAAGGGAATGGGTGGGAAGGGAGAAGGTTGAAGGCAGAGAGACTAGCAAGGGTCATTTGCAATAGTGGAGGTGGGATAGGTTAAGGTTCAGAAATAGGACAAAATTAGAAGAAAGGTTGGAATTCACAAGGCTTGGTGAACAAATGGATGTGAAATGAGACTAAATTACATAACGCGTTGTGAGGGACTTAGCACCATGTTAACCATTGTATATGTTCAATAAATGTATATGTATAAAATGGTCATCAAAAATCATAGGATCCAATCATGGGCAACCAGTTTGCATAGAAATTTTGAAAGAAAGTCGAATGTGTGTGTGGGGTGTTTGGGGGAGGTTTGGAAAAATTTATTTTGAATTTGCCCTATTAAGTTAAAATGAGCTACATAGGGGCACCTGGTGTCTCAGTTGGTTAAACGTTCGACTTTTTTTTCTTTAAGTTTATATTGAGAGACGGAGAAAGTGTGAGTGGGGGAGGGGCAGAGAAAATCCCAAGCAGGCTCCACGCCATCAGGACAGAGCCCAGTGTGGGACTAGAACTCAGGAACCATGATATTAACACCTAAGCCTAAAATGAGAGTCCATGCTCAACCGACTGAGCCATCCAGGCACCCCAAGTATCTGACTCTTGATTTTGACTCAGGTCATGATCTTATTTATGGTGGTGAGATCGACCCCCATGGAACCTGCTTACGATTCTCTCTCTCCTTCTAACCTCAGTCCCCACCCCGCCTTGCACAAGGACATGTGTGCTTGCTCTCTTTCAAAAAAAAAATGAGCTACATAGACAAATGATTGAAGAGGAGGGGGAAATTATGAGCTGGTTAAAGAAGGCTTCATGTAGGAAGTGGAAACAGTTAAGCCATGGAAGAAAGAACACTTTTTTTAGAGTTTATTTATTTTGAGAGAAAGAACAAGTGGGGGAGGGGCAGAGAGAGGGAGAGAGAATCCCAGGCAGGCTCCATGCTGAGCATGGAGCTTGATTCTGGGCTCAGTCTCACAATTGTGAGATCATGACCTGAGCTGAAATCAAGAGTTGGATGCTTAAACTGACTGAGCCACCCAGATACCCTGGGAGAAAGAACATTTTAGGTGGAGAACAAATGAAACAGAAGTGGGAACAATTCATGACAGTTTGGGGAGACTGAAAACCATCTTGGTTGGAGGGAGTTCTCAAAACACTACTTAGTAAGACAGTTTTAAGCCCCGGTAGGGGAGAGTCTTGCAAATCAAACTTAAGAATTTTCTGTTTTGTCCTGTACAAAATAAGGAGACTTTAAGAGTTTTTTATAACCCTTTATAAGACATTTAGACTTTTTAAATTATTCACTTCTGAATATGTAAAAGCTTTGGGTACACCTAGTTAGTATGATTAATCAGGAATGACTTTATAGTCACAGTTTTGAAGTAGGTTTTGGAAAAAGTGACGGAAGAGGATTGGTTGGAGAGGGAAGTATCAGTCCCTTGCTATGAATTGTAATAATTCCATGCAATGTAATAATTGTCTCAATGCTTCCTTTTAGTAGTGCCCTGGTCCCAATTATTTTAAAATTTGATTATATTCTTAGCTTCAGGACCCTGACAACAAATTACACAAATAAGCCAGGTATAATTGTCCGTATTTGGGAAGTTATAAAATCCCACAGTTGAAACTGATGTCGAAAATCAAGAGGCTCACCCTGGGTATTGTATAGAGGTAGGGAGGAAGAGACAAGTCATGTTAAATGAGTGTGCCCTCATTAACTCATGTTAAATGAGTGTCATGTGACTCAGTGTAGCACCTGGAGTAAGGAAAAAAGTACCATCTGCTAAAGGCAACTAATAAATATCAATCTTTTTTCTATATCATCAAGCCAGAGTCCCCAGTCTCATTGATTTCTTTGCTATTCCTTATATACACAAGGCATATTCCTGCCTCAGGGTCTTTGTACTAGCTTTCTCCCTCTAAAACACTTTTCTTTAAGATATTCATATGGCTGAGTCCTTAACTTCCCTAAGTCTTGGCTCAAACTTCCTAAGATCTATCCTGACCATCCTTTAAGAAATTGCTCCTTCCTCCTTTCTTTCCTCCTTTCCTCCTTGCTCCATGTTCCTCCTTGCTTTCTATCTCCCTTCTGTCTTTTTTCTCCATAGCACTTTTTAGCTTACTAATATACAATATAATTTGCTTATTTTTCTTATCTGCTTCCCATGAGGGCTGGATTTGTCTTTATGTTTTTGACTGTTTAGGTTAGCTACTACAGCCCCCTGTCTGGCATAGGTGGGCGCTCAGTAAATAATTGTTCGGTGAATAAATCAATCAATGAGAGAGAAACTATTCCATGGTTATCTCTCAAAATTCCATTGGCCTTTACTACGTTCTTTCCTTAGACCTCATACTGTTCTTCAGAGATATGCCATTCCTTAGAGCTAATTGTTCTGCTCTTGTGAATTTTTGTTGGTGTTAACACTAGTTCCTTTGACATAGATGAACACTATAATTGTCTAGTGAACACAAAGCAGATTTCATCTGTTAAAAATTGTTATTGAAGGAATGATTTTCTTCAATCCCTGTCCTCCTTTAAGAATTCTTTCAATATTGGGGCACCTGGATGGCTCAGTTGGTTAAGCATCCAACTTCAGCTCAGGTCATGATCTCGTGGTCCATGAGTTCGAGCCCTGCATCAGGCTCTATGTGGACAGCTCAGAGCCTGGAGCCTGTTTCAGATTCTGTGTCTGTCTGTCTCTCTCTCTCTCTCTCTCTCTCTCTCTCTGCCCCTCCCCTGCTCACGCCCTGTCTCCCTGTCTCTGAGAAATGAATAAACCTTAAAAAAAATTTTTTTTGATAGAAATGATGGAAGACTTCTTAAGAATGATCAGAAAAATTATGTATTCTGTCCTAGATTTTATCCAAGGTATAGAGAAGAGATAATCCACAAAGCAGGTTTGCAGGGGCAATATTAATAATTTTAAAAGTTGGTTCATTAGCATGGATAAGTCCCCCCCCTTTTTACCAACAGTTACACGTATAATACCCATTTACAGCTAAAGTCTGTAATAGTCTGTTTCTTTCAGGTTGCAAAGAGGAGGTGTGCTGAGATCTCCTTAGCCATTATGGACTTACTCTAACAATACACATGGAATTCAGGAAGATAGTTCATGGAACTATCTGAACAGGCATACAGTCCTTTAGATCACCAACATTAGAATGTAGAACAGCCTCAAGGAACTGAAACCTGGACACTTCCAATTGCTTGAGGCACAATGGTAACTCCTGTTGTCCTAGGCATCTTGTATTACTCTAGAATGGACCATCTTGCTACTCCTCTCTTCTCTGTGGGCATCTTACATTTGATAGGCTCAGCTTGTCACTATTCAATATGGAGCACCTCATTGGGCAGTTTCAGACCACACCATTTCCTAGGCACCTGACTGGACTTCCCCTTGCTCAAGGACTAATTATTTGGGGCTAGAGTAGGGAATTCTGTGGCTCAGACATGGCAGATATATGAAGACAGAACTGCTTGTACTCACATCATGAGATGAGGTCTGTGGGCATAGCAGGTATCAAGGTCTGTGGAGTTTTCCACCAAACACCATCTCTCCTTCACCACATTTCCATAAACAATCATTGGGTGGCAAATCAGTTATTCTTTTTGGTACATTGCTTCTTGTGTTTTTTTTTTATTGGTTTTTTTTTTATTTCTTTTATTTTTTTATTTTTTTTTAAATATGAAATTTGTTGTCAGATTGGTTTCCATACAACACCCAGTGCTCATCCCAACAGGTGCCCTCCTCAATACCCATCACCCACCCTACCCTCCCTCCCACCCCCCATCAACCCTCAATTTGTTCTCAGTTTTTAAGAGTCTCTTATGTTTTGGCTCCCTCCCTCTCTAACCTCTTTTTTTTTTTTCTTCCCCTCCCCCATGGTCTTCTGTTAAGTTTCTCAGGATCCACATAAGAGTGCAAACATATGGTATCTGTCCTTCTCTGTATGACATATTTCACTTAGCATAACCCTTTCCAGTTCCATCCACGTTGCTACAAAAGACCATATTTCATTCTTTCTCATTGCCACGTAGTATTCCATTGTGTATACA